CCAATTTGTGGAGTGTGTTGCAGGCCCTCCCTAAAAAAAAGGGCTATTCTCACCTTTAAAACTATGCCAACATATTGTGCGAAATTGCATTTCTTAAGCAACTCCAGAGAGCAGCCAGAAAGGAAGAATGGATAGTCAAATACTTCAATTATATTCGAAAAGATATGCTGAGCCAAAGCATGATTCATTAAAAGACTTGGAATACTTTTTTACTCAAAGTAAGAAAAGTACTCGAAGCACTCAGGAAAAGGTTTCCAGATCAAAAAATATATATTTTGAGTGAAATATTTTTTATGTCAAATCATAGGATTAATCGAAACACACATTTTAAAAGGTATTTGCCCTATGTTAAATCGCGAGTTTTATTAGTAGGATAACAAATCTGTTGCCTAAAAAGACGGCTGATTTATTTCTGTTAAATTTTAAAGATTGTCTTTTAAATTAAATTGTTTTATTTGATTTATTTGCACCTGACAGCTGACACAATAATGGGTTCACCTGCGGGTGGCGATGGCAGCGCCAGCGAGACAGCCTGGCTGGAGGATTTGCTGCGGGAGGTGCAGCTGGAACAGTTCCTGGAGCGCATACGCGATGATCTGCAGGTGACGCGCTTGGCCCACTTCGACTACGTGCTGCCCGATGATCTGGAGCGCTGTGGCCTGGGCAAGCCGGCCATAAGGCGTCTGATGGAGGCGGTGCGCAAGAAGAAGGCCCATCAGTGGCGCAAGAATATACTCTCCAAGCTGATTGGCGGCGGCAAGCAGCCCTCGTCCAAGAAGCAGCAGCAGCAGCAACAGCAGCAGCAGCATTTGCAGCCGGGCGCGTTGACGTGCCTGATACATGAGAAGGACATAACGCTGGGCCTGAAGCTCGGCGATGGCTCCTTTGGCGTGGTGCGGCGCGGCGAGTGGAGCGCCTCGCCGGCGGGCCAGGTACTGCAGGTGGCCGTCAAGGTGCTCAAGTCGGACAATCTGACACAGCCGGGCATCATCGATGACTTCTTTCGCGAGGTACAGGCCATGCACGCCTTGGATCACTCGAATCTGGTGCGTTTGTATGGCGTGGTGCTTTCCCAGCCCATGATGATGATCACGGAGCTGGCGGAGCGCGGCTCGCTGCTGGACACGCTGCGCAAGCAATGTCGCCACACATCGCTGACCCACATCTGGAACTGGTCCGTGCAGATTGTCACTGGCATGGCCTATCTGGAGCAGAAGCGCTTTCTGCATCGCGATCTTGCCTGCCGCAATGTGCTCTTGGCCGCCGGCAACAAGATCAAGATAGGCGACTTTGGTCTGATGCGTGCGCTGCCCCAGGAGGACGACTGCTATGTCATGTCCGAGCACAAGAAGGTGCCGTTTCCGTGGTGTGCGCCCGAGTCGTTGCGTTTCCGTCAGTTCTCGCACGCCTCGGACACCTGGATGTTTGGCGTTACGCTCTGGGAAATGTTCAGCTTCGGCGAGGATCCGTGGGTGGGCCTCAATGGCTCCCAGATATTGCGCAAAATCGATCGCGAGGGCGAGCGACTGCATCAGCCGGACGCGTGCCCGCCAGATGTGTACGCCATGATGCTGCAGTGCTGGGACAAGACGCCCGCCGAACGGCCCACGTTTGCGGCACTCAAGTAAGATTCGCTTTTTCATATACTAGAATCCTTGCTAATGCTTTCTCTATACTCCACGTCTAGGGAGTATCTGGCCAGCATGTCGCCGCCGGTGATGCGCGCCACGCGCAGCTATCATGACGCCAAGGGCCTGCAGCTGGAGCCGGGTGACAGCATTGCCATCATCGATGGCCGCTCGGAGCTGAAGCTGATCAAGGGCCAAAACCAGCGCACCTACGATATTGGTGTCTTTCCGCGCGCGCTGCTGGAGCAGCGACGTCTCGGCGATGTGCAATTGCGAGGCAATGCGGCGCCTGGCTCGCCCTTTGGCTTCTGCTGGGGCGGTGCTGGCGCTGCGCAGGCCAACGGCGAGGAGCGACAGCGCAAGTGCGCCTCACTGACGCCACAGGCCGTGCAGTCGCCGCAGGGTCATGCCAAGGAGCGCAAGTCCATATCCAGCAAGCAGTTCTCCTACAACAAGCTTGTCAACGATTGCGGCGGCCTGCAGCGACGCAATGCGGTCAAGCAGAAGATTTCAGCAAGAGGTCCGAACCGGCCACCACCGCCGCACCAACTTCAACAGCAGCAGCAGGAGGGCATACTGATCGACATATCGCCGGAGATGCGACCGACGGCAGCTCTGGCCGCTGGCGACAGCGCCTCGCTGCAGCTGGACAACTCTTTTTGCCTGCTGGATGCGCCCATTGATGTGCCCACATTTGCTGAGGCTGCCGCTGGCACAGCCTATTCCTCGGGCCCCAACACGCCCACCTACTTCAACGAGCAGCCGCAGTTTGATTTTGAGTCGACGCCAGGACGCCTGCAGCCGCCGCCCTATCAAATGCCGCCCACCTACTCCAACACCATGGAGTTTGCCCAGCAGCTGCAGAAGCGCGAGCAGCAGACGCCTGTGCGGGATCCGTTCGATACCAGCAGCCTGGATGCCACCGCTGGCGCCCTAATGCTCTACTCGAATGCGCCGCCTCCAGAGCCTGTTGTTGTTGCGCCCATTTACGGCAGTCCAGCTGCACGCAAGAGTCTCTTTGGCGCTGGCGCTGGCCTGGCCAACGGGCATGCCAACAAGGAGAACATACCCGCTTTGGAATCGGCCGCCATGCAGTATAACCTGAGCAATCTCTCGCTGGAGCGCCATGAGGTCACAACTGTGCAGCAGCAGCAGCAGTCGGAGAGCGTGCTGCTGGACAAATCCTTTATAGCTGAGCTGGAGAAGGACATGTATAGCGGCAGCAACAAGGCGCAGGAGGATTATCAACGCAATTCGGCGCAGATGTATGCCAACAAGGAGATTGTCTACAAGCAGAATCTCACGCCCCTGAAAAATGCCGCTGGCAGCGGCAATCTCTCGAATCACTCCAGTCCCACATCTAACGGCAGTCAGGCTTCGCCCACGCCCAAGCAGAATAATGTGGAGACCGCTGCAGCCGCAGTAGCAGCAGGAGCAGCAGGAGCTGTCACCACGCAGAGTGTCGTGAATCGCATTTGGTATGAGCGTGTGGCAGCCACGTCCTCGGAGTACTATGCACAGCCGCCGCCAGAGTCGGCGGAGCAACTGTATCAAAATCAGCCGCAGCAGCCGGAAACGCATCACTCGTTTGTGGCCATATCCAATCGCGTGGTGGCGCCCAAGAGCAGCGTCTACGCTTCTAATGCCTCGCTGTACGGCAGCGTGGCGGCCACCGGCGGCGAACGCTATGATCAAGTGGCTGCCAGCATGGCCGGTTCCGCCTACTACGGCCAGGTGCCCAATGGCAGCGGCACGGCCATTTACGACGAGGTCACCCTTGACGATTATCTGCGTCCGCATCGGCCGGCACCGCTGGCCCCGCCGCCACTTTCGGCACAGCAAATCCAGCGGCGTCTGGACAAGATGCGTCAGCAGCAGCAGCAACAGCTCGAGGGCGCCCATCAGCTATATGCACCGGTGCCGGCGGAGGCGCAGCGCGAGCAGGAGAAACTGCAGCAGCTGATGCTGGAGCTGGGCAGCGCCGCGGTGGAGCAGGATGTGCGCAATGCACTGCGCGCCGCCAGCGGCGATGTGCAGCTGGCTCAGCGCCACTACAAGATCGATCAGCTGACCCGGCTGGGCGTCGCCGGCAGGTCACAGTGCGAGCAGGCACTGCATCAGACCGGCTGGAGCTTGGAAATGGCCGCAGAGCTGCTGCTTCAGACGGCGGCGGGTTAAATGCAGCCAATTGGAGTAATAATTTTGGGCACAATTCTTTAGTTTAGCCAGATATTTGGATTAGTTTTGTAATCTGGCCGTTGCTGCCAGCCGCCGTGTTTTTAGTTTTTAGCTCGATCTACTTTTATTGCCCAACCGAAAAAGTCTCGAATCTATGCGAAATACTCGACTAGAATGCATGAATTTCAGAACAGAAACAAAAGTCCAATGACTGTACTATATATTAGCACACAAGCATATTATTTTATGTTTAAGCTTAAGCAATGATTTGAAATGAATAATTTGTAATTGTTGTTATTGCATTACTGTATATAATTTAATGCAAAATTATTTGCAGAAAAATACGCAACTTCACAACTAATGATGCAAGCTGCAACAGACGAGCAAAACTGCCAGTGTATGGCCGCTATTTAGTTAGTTATTAAATCAATAAATTATATGTAATTGTTACAAAGTTTAATACGTTTCCTCTTTGTGCAAAGTAATAGCGCGGTAATCAATTTAAAAATAACGACTTTTTCCTTTTACTCGATACTTTTCATTGCGGACTCCGCTACATACTCATCGATAACACATTTCGTCGATAGTAACATCGGTGTATTTATAGTATTTTTCGTATATCGCAGTACGGCCACACTGCTGAGCTTTGTTTTAGTTGCAATCGAATCGGCGAAGGTAGAGGTACGGAAGGTCCGCAGGTTGCTTGTTTTTGCGAGAAAAAAAAACAACAATTCAATTATGTTCGTGTGTGTGTGTCTGCGAGTGCTTGTGTCGCCTAAATTTATGACGCATACTAAGTGCAAGCGCATATCAGTGTGATAAAAATATTGTGCAACACTCGAACGGCAAAAAATGTAAAATCCCAAACGCTGCACTTCAGTTCAATACGATGCGAAAAAGAAACCAACAATGCAGCATAGAAGAAGAAGAGTGCGTGCATTCGGCCTATGCTCGTTGCTGTGTGCGTGTGTGTGTGTGCGCGCCCGCGCCCGTGTATGAGTGTGTGTGCGAAATTATGTAAAAAACAACAATAGGCACATTTGCCTATTGTGAGCTCTGGCGTCGAATTGTTTTGTTGTTGTAGCCATTGCGGTTCGTTGTTTGGCAGCGGTTAAATTGAAAATTAAAACTAATGGCAAATTTAATTAAAGAGAGGCGCGCGCGCGGCTTAATGTGTTTAATATTTTAATGTATCGAAAGTCATAAATAAATGATTGCTTATACGTTCCAATTGACTATCGCACTCTCCCAATTACGAAATGCAGCCTTGCTCTCAAAATCGCGTCTTATCTCTCTCTCTCTCTGTCTCCGTCGCGAGGCTGCAGCAAATGCCAGTGCACGAAAATTTTCTTGACGTCAGCAGCGGCGTCGGCGGCGGCCGGTTTTATTTGTTGCTGTTGTTCGCTTGAAAACGATTGGCAGCACTTTTTAGAGTCCTATACCCGTTCCCATTCCATAAACGAAATTCCTTAACCATTTGATCTACCTGCCGTTGCCGCTGCCGCAGCCGCAGCCGGCGTCGCCGCTGCGCCTGTGGACACGTCTGCATTAAACGTTGCTGGAAACGCAGAGTATTGGAAATTGCTCTCTTTTCGTTTTGTTGTCGTTTGTTCACAGGCAATTAGGCGAACAGCAAAGGCAACGAAAACGAAACAAAATTCTCAGTTTCTATTCTTTTTTTTATTTTATTTACCTTACTCCATGTTTCGCTGTTGTTTACAACAATAATTATAATAACAGTGGCAAACGGATCAAGCAAAAGCAGCGCAGCAGCAGAAACTGGCAGAACCAGAAAACGCAGCAGCAGCAGCAGCGCCAAGCTCCAACAACAAAATGAGTTGGGGTACTGAGCTATGGGTAAGTTTATTCTTCTTCTTCTTGTTCTTCTTCTTATGTTATTGTCTTTGTATATCTAAAGCAAGCTATTGTAGTTTTTTTTTGTACGTAAAGCTCAAAGTGCAAGCGTATATTTTATGCGTTCTCTTGCGGCTGCCCTCTCTCGCTCTCTCGCGCGCGCTTCCCTCTCTGTGTATCTCTCTTGACCAACAGAACACGACTTAAAAAATACTGAAAACTGGTTTTGCGTGTTTTATGTAAATTGCGGCCCGCAAGCGTGGAATTCTACTTGTTGTTGTTGCTGTTGTTGTATTATAATTTTTTATTTTTGGGTCCGTTCCAGGCAGCCGTCAACTGATTTTATTCTTAACTGTTTTTCCATGGCCTCCTGTCGCCATTTGGCACACAGCTGTTTTTTTTTTGTTTAACTCGTTGCTGACACGCCCGTTTAGCGTCTTACCTGAATACCGCCGTCGCCGCCCCCAACGCTGCACGCACTCAAATCTGCTGCTTCAGCTGTGGTCGCGCTGCGGAGATTGTGGGGAAAGGGGGGAAGGGGGTGTCTATAATTTTTTTAGTTTTTGCTTTACAGTTCGATGCGATTTCTTTTCATTTCTATTCGTTTTTCGATTTCGATTTCAATTTTGGGGGTAGTTTTTGCGACAGCCGGCAGCACACCCTCAAACTCTCTTCATCGATATGTAGGTGTGTGTGTGTCTGTGTGTATGTGCGTGTGTGCAGCTGGTAAATTTGCCATCGCAGCAGCTTTGCTGCTCTCTGCCAGGATAAAATTGCATGTCTAGACGTTCGCAGTCAGATTTATCTACTATTAGCATTCATCCCATGTTTCCGCATTTTGATAGTTTGTAAAGCTTGAACCCAACTAAAGTTGAGTATTTCGTTTGGATTTTGGATTTAAGGAAGCAATTTGAACAAATACATATGTATGATAAATGTGATATAAATATGTACCAGGGCTGCATACTTAAAGTTATTTATCTCAAGTTCAGTTCAACTCCGAGCTTTAGGTTCGGTTCGTGAACTTGTTCTTGCACATTCTTGGCTTAAACCAAAACCGGTAAAAGGGTTAACACTAAGAGCCTTGATTTAAGTAATTTAATCGAAATCAAAAATGGATTTTCTAATTTGAAATCCGCTTTGCCTTCTTTCACCTTTGCGAGTGAAATTTCCAAATAAATAGTTTTATAATAAAAATGAATTTATTAATTCACTTGTAATGAAGCTTTACGATAATTTCACATTCAAATTACATTTGATTCCACATTTTTGTTCTGCCTTTACCTATTATGGTTGAGGCATTTTCTCCGAGTCATCCATAAATTGAAAACTCAAACGTTGTTCATTGTTGTTGAGAATAAAAATCTGTAGCTACTGTGGCCAATAATTGTTTATTTTTTACCATAAACATTTCAACATTTGCATAAATAATTTACACGCAAATATTTGGCCGAGTGAAAAAGAGTGAAAAAAATGATTTCTTTTGTTAGAAATAGAAACAAATCGCATTTTGCATGTTCATGCATGGAAAGTGTAAGCAGAGTATTAAATACATTTAATTGATTACGACACGTAAACGAAAATATCGTTATTTATAATGCAAATTGCAAGCTTAAAGCCGGGCTAATAAGCGGGTCAATTGCGAGGCCTGCATAAAAATAGAAATAACTATAAAAATAAAAACCAAAAACCAAACCACGAACTGAAGCCAAAGCCGAAGCCAATTTCAGCGCCAGTCAACTAAAATAAAAAAAAAACAAAAAAAAATACAACAAACTTTCTTTGCATTTTTTGCTGCGCTTCTTTTTATTTGATTTTATTTTATTTTATTTTTTATGCACAAAATTTTCACTTTAATTAAATTTAAAGCATGCGCCGCCGTCTTCGAGTCCATTAAAAATCTTGAACCCTTGCATATGCAAAAAAGCTCGAAAAATTAAATCAAATAAAATGGTAATAAAAACCGTCGTTATTTTTGGTGAATTTCCTTTACATTTCTCTATTTTCTATACTTTATTTGGTTCGTTGACGCCCTCGTCTAAACGTTTTCTCTCTCTTTCGCACGCACGCTCTAAAAATAGTCGTCTGTCATTTTATAAAGAAAAGGGGGGAGGGGGGACGCGGTCTAGTGGAAAACCTTCCCGCTCTGCGCTGAGTATTTTTATTGCGCTGCTGCGTTTTGTTGTCATTACCTATATAAAGTTTTGGATTAGTGTCCGGAATTTCGAATCGATAAACATTTGTCAGCTCAGGTGTATGAGAAAAACGATAAAATGTCAAGCGTTTAAATTTAGTCAAAACAAGAGTTTAGAGGCAAGGTCACACTTTTAATTACGAAGGTGTAGATATATGTATACCTATCCTGGCTGACTGTGTGGGGAAATTCCATTGTGTGAAACTTACTTCAAACTCATTTTCAAAGATTTACCTTTTGTATTCCTCCCTGGTGGAAATGAGGCAAAACTAGAAAAGATAGAAAATGGATAGAAAATGCAATAAAAAGTTGTTCTTATAAGGAAAACCTTTGTATAGGTACATATATTTTCTCATTTCTTAATATGCTTTTTAGTGTTATTTACGATACAAAAAAACTGCTTGTGCCTTCCATATTTGCACAAAATGTCATGTGTTTTATTGCGAGTCAAAATTGATTAACTTCCGACTAATGTACCACATAATAATATAACACTTGAGTCTGGGATCTGCGATGATATTGTACATCTGTTATAATCTTCGACAAATCGTAGTTAACTTTTATTTCTTGTTTAAAGCAAAAAAAGAACCGGCGATTTCTTGAGTATTTTATCAGCTGCTTTCGTTGTTTATTGCAGCTGTTTGCTATCAAGCTTTGATTATTTTTAAAAACTTAACAGATTAAATAATATCATGATTCATTTTATAGCTCTACTCATTACGATTATTTCTTGCTTTTTGAGTATTCCTGTGACTTTTTAATGCATGCGTTATCAGTTTGTGCCCGTGTTGACTAAATTTATGTGTATTTCGTAATTGTTAATCGTTTCGCATCTTCGTATCTATTTGTTGTGGCGGGCACTTGTCTCCAGCTGTCCCCCTCCCCTCCCCCTCCCCCTCCCCCGCCGAGATCACTTGTGCTCGTGCAGCTCCTTCAGACTCTCCCATCGAATCGACTCGATGCTCAATGCCATTGTCGTCATTGTTGTTGTTTTCCAGAGATCAGTGTAAATAATTTTCTTGTTGTTGCAGTTTTTCAATAGGTTTTCTTGACACTGAAATCGAATGCAATTAGCTAAAACATAACTGCAACAATTTTGTGTTGTCTGCGTGTTGTTTTTAGCGATTTTTAGCTTAATGTTTAATAACAAGAGCATTTCGAGCTAAAAATAAACTCTAGACAAGAACAGTTTTTATGGGCTTTTCGAATGACACACATGTATCTAAAGTCTTAAAAAAAAGCGACAAGAACTCGGGCTCGTATATCTTTTAGCAGTACCAATTACTGTTTGCAGTCGGATCGTTAATTTACCTAACGTGTGCGCCATAATTAAAATTCTGGCACCCCACCCCCCCACACACGCACACCCCTTGTCCCGCACACACACACACACACACAACACTTGCGACCCCATCGCTGCAGCTGCCAATTAAGGCACAAGACGTGGTCCGGGGGGGCGGCACCGGCGGCGATTTATGCGCTCAAGGCCAAGTTGTCAAGTAACGCATTTCGATTGCAGATTAGACACAATTTCTTTGGGGTCGCACCCCAAGTGCAAATCTCCTTTGTTGAACATCCCATCGATTTGGCAGCAGCAGACCTTCAGACCAAGCTGGAGGACAGCTTCTTGGCGCCTGTCTGCAGCGGAAAATTCGCAATACGCTTGTGCGTGGCATTCGGCCAGGACTTTCGCCTTGGGATTTGCAAGGATATGGCATTCGAGCCACGCGACGGGTGGTTGCAAAAATGCTCGATGATTTCATTGCATCCGGCGGGTTTTCCTTGACATTTCTCTTATTTATTTATTTATTTTATATTTTTGTTAGATTTAAGACGCAACTCACGTTGTCCAAGGGGTAGAAATATATTATTAGATTTTACGCAAGAAACACCCCATGAAAATGGGCAAAGGAAATCATGGAGTTTAAGGCATAAAATATAAAAAATATTCTAAGATTGCTTAGGCGGCATTTTTCGATCATTTTTGATGCCTATCTAAGAAGCATTTTAAGTTTCGATCCATATACAAATTCAAGCCGTCTTCGCTGAGTACCTGTGAGAGTACCTGTGAGAAAAGACAATGCATCGCAAACTCTCTTTGTCTCCCTCTCTCTGTCTCTCTGTCTGTCCGCTCTTTCTCTATCTCTCGCTCTTCTCGAGCTGCGTTCGATGTTAATCTTTTAGTCTATAATAATTGCGAATTCCGCTCACATTCTCCAATTGTAAAATAAACCGAGTTGTTGTTGTTGTTGCACTCGCGTTGTTGTTCTTGTTGTGGCTTTGTGGTGTCTGCTGTCTGTTGTCTTTTGATTTCAGTAGCCTTCAGGCTTTAGCTTGTGCTGCATGCATATTAAGCAGCTGCCGCTGTGTCTGCCGCTGTCTCTTTATCTATCTCTTTCGCTGTGTATCCATCAGATACATTTGGCCAATGCGCTTTATATGCAAATTGTGACCGTTGCCATTCAAAATTGCGCCGGCGCCTGCCTTTGCACTTGCGACAACACACATTCCTATATGGTTATATAGTATGCCATATACTTGCACTCGTATGGCATATTTGTGGTAAAGCGTTGATAAGCCCAGACGTTCTGGACATCACATTTGCTTATATATATACACATTTTAATATATATATTGTTCTTTAAAGAGCACGCATTTCCTTTGCAAGTTATCGCTTGACCAACTTTTTTCGAGGCAGCGATAAATGCGTAACAAATCAAAAACAAATTAAATGAAAACAATAAACAAATATTTCAACACACTTTTTGGCGCTTGAAATTACTTTTTGCCCAACCATTTGCAACTGATA